TCACTTTTCTTATTGAACATTTTTAACCTTTATTATTATAATAGAATTACAGTCTGACATAAAATAAAGAGCTTTTGCTAAACTCTGTAAAGCAATACATGCTTCTGCCATAAACAACCTCTATTAGATTTAGGTTTTATTGCCACATCACTGCACTGAGGTGCAATAAACATTCAATGTCATCTTTTTAAAATTATCCCACGAGTAAACAGAAACTGTCCTCTATAAGAGTGTATCATTATTTTCAAGGAAGACTTACTATTATTACATGGTTTAGCAAAGCACTGTAAAAAAGCTACATAGAGAATACCTTGTCTTTGATAAACTGTGCAATCAAGTTTATACAGTATAATACTATTCACATAGACTAACAAACTAAGAGGTGATATAATGCAATCATTGCATAGCAAAAAGCGGACTATTTAAGTAATATTCACATCTAATGTGCAAAATGCAGACCAAAAGTAGCAATGAATTGCTAGTAAGGTAAAATACCCTAAATGAACACACTAGATTAACGCCAAAAATAACAAGATAAACAAGTACACAGAAGTTAAAGAGCCATATTTTATTTTTTTCTATACATATATCTACACATGATACCAGAAGATGAAACATCCCCTTTAATAAGTTCCAATCAAATTACTCATCAAGTTTAGACAGGACTAAATGTTAGACAATGAAGCTTTATTAATTGTTTTCTAAATAAATCATTAACTATTTTTAGTAGTGAGTGGCGAACTTTTGATTTATTGAGAAAGAGTTTATAAAACATTGCCTGAAATGCAAGTATTAAACTTGGCTGTCTCATTAAATATTCCACTGAACATTCATGTGGCATTGTTTTAAATTCATTCAATATTGTGTTTTATGGATTCTGAATTAATACTTGCAAAACCCCATCAATCTCTTGAGCTCTTTGAAAAATCCTTATCTGAAATATATATTTCTAAGTTCTCAGTAGTAATGAAACTGACTATATTTTGTTTAAAGGGAATACCATACCTGCAAAATGGACATCTTGTATTTAAAGCCCTTACATATTGTTCCTACAAATATATTGCTACAGTAAAAATGAAATGTAATAAGTTTACTCAATAAAATCTATTTTACTGTACATTCTTTTGTGTATGATTGTTTGTATTTAATGCTACATATATTACATCACTTATTGTAACAGTTATGTATCAGCAAATATAGCAGTAATATACAGATGATTTTCTGTCTTAACAAATATTTTACCAGTTTTACCTACCAAATATAATCCCATACTTTAGTATTTATAAATGACCTGAGCAAACCAGTCATTTATCTAGTATACATTGGATGACATTGTCAAATTGCAAGCTACTGTACACTTCACCACTTTAAAAATGGATTCAATTCCAAGCACTTTCTACTCTGTTTAGCCTTTCAAGTACTACTGACATTTTTTATGCAGGCTCTAAATATGTTTGTTTAGCATTTAACAACATATCAAGAGCTAAGAGGTGAACCCTACATAATATTTGAAGAACACAACTTTAAAAAAGTAAAAAAAATGTACAATCTCATGCTGCATATTTACATATGTTATTTAAATACTAATTTCTGTCTTTCTTCTATCCATAAATTTCTGTCTAAAGCTTTTTTAATGTATTATTTTATAAAAGAATACATTCAACATATCTAGAGCTTGCAAAACTGTTTTTTTTTCTTTCTAAAACATACTGACAAATAAAAGCTACCTGCTTAAAACATCCAAGAATTGGTTTGATTACGCAGGGTGCCAAAAGAATTTAGGTTCTGCACTTGATTGTGAACTGATTCTTATCTAGTCTAGTGACAACATAATGCTTAAAACAAAACTGCAGTAAGACAGCACATTAAAGCATTTGTTACCATTAGATCATATGTATTACACAGTGATCAACTGTATCTAGAATATGCAGACTTTCTTTTCTTTGAAAAATAATTAGTAATTATGGGATTGGGAATTGAGAAGCAAAGAGTAGGACAAATAAATATCTTCTTGAATTCAACAAAACTGAAAGCTTTGTGTCCTTGAAAAGAATATAAAGTAAATAGTGCTCAATAATTGGTAAGTACACTACATCATGTGCAACATGAACATCGTAAAGAATATTTTCCCCCCACAATCATTTTGCATAAAAATATCTTTCACATACATATACAATATCTTTGTTGGGACATTCAGTAATATGCTATCTACAAATAGTTTAGAATTGTTTTCATTACTAGAATTTTAACTTTCTCTTTTTCAGAATCAAGGTTCCAAGGATACAGCCTAAGCATAGAGGGTTTGTTTCTTATTTTTAAAATATATATATATTTTTACCTTTTTTTAAATAAGTATCCTTCATTTTCTTTAAGACAGAGGCAATGAAGCAAATGGGAATTACTGTGTGTCAAAAATTGAAAGCAATTCCCAGTGCAAAAGAATAAAACTACATGAAGTAATGGGGTTATTGATGAGGAGTTGGGGCTAGCTGGGGCTCCCTGTTTAAATAAGTGGCCCAGTAGACTAAATTAAAGATACCAAAGAGCAATGGGAAAGCTATTCTTGATAGTCGGTCAATTTTGCTGACACTGTTAAAAGTTTTCTTCGGTTCTGCAGGTTTTGTTTCTGGTTTAATTTCTTTGGGCTCTATTGTTGCGCTTTTAGCAATGGTAGCCAGTCCAGGGTCCCTTGCAATGTTAGGGGTATAACTTGTTGCTGCTGCTGTATATGTGTTGTTTTTCTTAATGAGAGGATCCTTCACTTTCTTTGGCTAGGGAAAGAAAAGCATAGATGTTATTCTTGGTCATAACACAATAAAACATAGGGGTATTCCTATGCATATTAATTGTGTAACAAATTGGGGCAAAACAGAAATTATAGTGTATATATGTGACTTAGGTAAATCATTCAGTTGAAGAACAAGATATAGCCACTCATTTAATTACTTTGTTTCCATTTAGGAAGAGCTCTTATTGATAGCAAGGCTCATCAGTATATCGTCTCATATTGAATACAATATCAAGAACAGCAGACCAAACCAACATAATGTTGGTATTCTAAAAAGCTGTACCTTTTGCCCAGAGCAAAGCATGCCACAAACACTACTAACTTTAGCATTCAGCTATCAAGACAAACAACATTTTATGATATTTTCTCACAAGTCATACTCAGAAATATCATTTGTGACACAAAGGCTGCTGAATACAGACATTCAAAAAGCTCAAGGCAGAATCGATCCAATCTACACCGCTTTCTCTAAGATGAGTAGGTTACATCAGAAATGAACAGAACATATGTTCACCCATCAGTGGGGGAAGGCAGGCAGATGCCTGCGCGGATCAAAGCCAAAAGGCAGGGAGGTGGTCCCACACACCTCCCAGTGTACCGCATATTGCTGAGGAAAGCTGAGCCCACCCAAACAGGGGTGATCCCTGATTGACTGCCAGGCATATGCTGCCTACTCCCTGCTGTCAGCCACAGGAAGCAAGGGGAGACAGCCAAGAATCTCCCCTTCCCTCCTGCAGCCTGGCTTTCCAACTTCCTGGCTGAGTCACCGCCACTACTGCTCACAGCCACAAGCCACTGCCTCTCACTGGCAGGCGAGTGGGGGAACAGAGCCCCTGACCCGAGTCCTAGACCCCTGCCCCCCAAGCTGGGGTCTGCACAGCTGGGGCAGGCCCACATAGACAGGGATTTCCCCACTGCCTGGCTGCCCAACTCACTGGCAGCTGGGCAGTGAATGTCCCCTCCCCCAGCTGTGCAAGACTCAGCTGGGGCAGGGGGGAATAAGGCTAGGGTGGGGATCTCTGTTTCCCCCCTCATCTACCGCTTGCCCTGCTGGTGAGAGGCAGTGGCTCATGGGGGGGCAGGGCTGTGGAGTACATGTTTGCTGCCTCAGTTTTGTGACAGCCTGTGGGAGGGCCCAGCTCAGCACTCAGCTTGAGCAGAGGGTTGCAGGTTGAGCCCACCTGCCCTGCAAGTGGGGATTGTCAGGGGAGCTACAAAGCATCCTGGGATGGTGGGGGCCTATGACCTGAGTCAGGAGGTGATCTGGCACAGAAGTTAGACTGATCTAGCCTAAAGAGATTAAATCTGATACTTTATCCATTCCGGTCAATCTCAGCTCAATGGTTCTGCCATTTTTAAACTAATTTCTGTGCACTGAACATCTGGTCTGTTACAAGGTTAGACAGGTTTCCAGTCACTCATACCAGTTTATGTATAATGTCTCTACCTGGCTGAAGAAAGCACTTATTTAAAACAAATACAGCATATGGCCTACATACATCCCTACTCAGAAAAGTACTTTGGACTTATGCATGTGTTTAAGTGCTTTGGTGGATTATAGACTTAAGGGGTGGGTCCCCACATGCAAAGGCATATGTTTCTCCTGGCACAAATAGCAATGGCACACATTTGAGCTGTTGCTTTGTGGCCAAGGGATTCTGGGAGCCTCCTGGAGCAGGCAGCACTGGTATGGCTACACAGAGCTTGGCCGGTAGCCAGAGCATAGATCTGGATGGCCAGGCTCAGTTTTTGGTGGCACACCCTGCTGTCACATGGCCCATGCCACTTTTTTTTTTTTTTTTGCATTTTTTTAAATACATTTTAACACTAGTATAATACTAGTTGAAGTTTCATTCAGAATGTGTGAGCTACATGCTCGTGTATTTTTTTATCTTTAAGTATCCCTATATCGTGCTGAAATTTACTGACCATATTACAATTCAGTGATTTTTTAAATGTTCATAGCTCAGGAGAATCCTTATTTTTTTAATACTTTATGCCTCTTAAAGTCAGTTCAACTGTCTTTAATTTATTTGGCATATGGCAATCCCAGTTGGCATAAGCATTTTCTAGTGGGCAGGCCTATCCTGCATAAGGGTAAAGCGTGAGAATAAGTGAGGGAGAAAAAACAGTGTGCCAGAAGAACCATGATTTAGCCTCCATATCAACTATGACAGATCATTTTAGGATTGAGGTATTATACAAACTAGCAAGCAGTTCAGCTGCAGCCAGAGGGAGGATTTGTCAGGAAACCACTGGGTGAATGGGGGACAGCTGCAGGGAACGCAAAAGCCTGGAGAACCAGGACAACCCCAGACAAGAAAACCAGGAAGGTTTGAAGTGATATGTTTCCCTTATTCAGAAAATAATAGAACTGAAGCCTAAAAAGGGGGAGGGAGGAAACTAAACCAGACTCTTTGTGGCACATCCCTTGGCTGTGAGGATAAGCTAGGAGTTTGCAACAATTTATATGCCTGAAGCTGAGGAAAGGCTTCACATCCCCTTCAGCAGAAGCGCAGTAAACTATTTCTGCCTAAAAGATGAAATAATCATCTGAGATCCTTATGTAAAAACTAATCTAAACATAAGCAGACATAAAGGAATCTTTGCACTTATCTGTCCATAATCATCTAGAACTTTCACTTTTCAAAATGTATTTAGGATTCCCTTTTCACTTGTAAATCTGTGTAACTTGCTTGCTCAGGGCAGATCCAGGCCTGTTTTCTTCTTATTGTAGTAAGCAGCAATAAGCCCAACTAAATAAATACCCATGTCAAGGAAGCCTCATAGGAGAGTAATTTTGGAGTCTTATTAAAATGCTATGCAGGATCTGAGCTTGGCAAAGGCCTAAATGCAATCAGGATCTTAATAATTTATGTCAAATTGAAGTTTATGAAAAAGTAATATGACGGCTAATCAGAGCCCTGCATTTTATTCAGTTGTGAAATTCTGCTCACCTTTTCCTTACTGGAAATTCTTAGTTATTCCCCAGCAACTAATTCAGTCTATGGGATGTAATTGTTATGCATTCTATCACAGAATACACAAGGATCCTTACCTTACCAAGATTATGCCTATACATAAAATAGTAATGTTTTAAATGATTCTTGAATGTTGGGGTTTGGGGGGATTGTATAATTATAAATGAGCACCCACATCAAATAAAATGTTTGATCGTAAGTAAGTAAAATGTGTACGAAAATATTGGACACAAAGGATTAGGCAGATTTAGAAATATAAATTCATGTTGTATTCTACCTTAAATGGATTTGAAACTACTCTTAAAATAGGCTATAGCAAAGTTATATGAATAAGTAGAATTGAACAAATCATTTTGAATGGAAAGTTCAGCCATTATTTAATTTAACTTAAAATACTCCTTTAGCAAAGAGCTTTACAAATTATAAACCTAAAATCATTGTTAATTCTTTGTTTTTGCTTACCAAGATACTCTGGGAGTCTCTCTCACACAAACCCTATACACATTAATCTACCTGTTTCTACTACACCCTGTAAAATAAAAGTGTATGTGTGTGTGTGAGAGAGAGGCTGTTGTTTCTTTTTCTTTTTTTTAAATAACTGGAATGTGCCATGATGGGATCTATATACATACAAGAAGAGAGATGGCTAGAAAGAGGGATGAGAGGTGACAGGTCTCATATATTAGCCCCATTCAGGATTAGTTCTGCTTAAGGATTTCCTGGTATCCTTCTTAAAGGCCCCCCTTCACCCAGTTCTGGCATGGCCTCTAGAGGGGTAAGCTTCTGGATTCAAGATCCTGGTTTTTCCTTGTCCCTGACTCCCATGGCTTTCTGTAGCAACCGTACCCCAAAGACGTCCTTTTTGCTTAGCTTCTGAGAAGGAGTGCAAGAGTTGCCTTTCCCAAGGGTGGGCTCACAGTGCCAACATCCCCAAAAGCATAGTAAACAGCTCCACTTTAAACAGTCTTTGATGTGCCACCATAGTTCCCCCATCCACCCTAACTCTCTTTTCTCCTCCCAGCTCCTTCAGAGCCCTTTTTGTCCTCTTCTCAGACACAAGTTGCCACATAAGCAAAAAGTGTAACAAATTATAGTAGTTAACCCAGGGACTAACCCTTGCCCAATATAATGAAACATGTTATTGGAAACCAGTGGTGCTTTACTCCAGAGCCTGCTGCTAGGCCTAAACCATTATCTTCTCCTGGGGTGAAAAAGGCATCTAGATGTCCTACTATAAAACTACGTACAGCAAAGAAGGTATCTGACCCCTGACAAGAGCTTTATGCTAGAACTCAGCCCATTTAGCTTCTGTCTCCATAAAGCAAACCACAACACTTTCTATTCTATAAACATAGTCTATAAAATTACCATATTTTAAAGCCAATCACTCTCTTTTTTTAATTCTTTACTTCCCAGAGGCACTGTGTAAACACTCAAGGTTCTCCTTGCTTGCACAATATGAAAGCCATTGCCTTCATATTACAAATTTGTGTTTATTTTCCCTCAATTCAGATACAGCTTATCAAATGCCAATGACAAAATGCTAAAAGAAATTTTTATCTACTGGAGAGTTTTTTAGATAAGATTTTTATCTAAATCTTAAATCATTGCTAGCATTAAGTCACTCATTTCAGAAACCAGCAAATGCTGTGTAATGCATATGTATTTGGGAATAAAATCCATGTATTAGCATACACAATGCAGAGACTCACATGGACTTCTCATAAGTTATTTCTTCTTACTGTCCCCCTCCCCCCCACTCCCATTTCAAACACAGTTACCCATACTTTCCACATAAGACATGAGAAAGGGACTTAATCTCTTAGCTATTTAGCGCTGTTCAGGCTGACAGTGTTTTAAAAATGAAACTATAACTAGTTTCCATTCTATTTCTAAAGAGCAAGTAGTCTCATGACATTGTTGACTGAAGATCTCATATAGTGAGTGCAATTTAGGAACTTCCTCTCCTTTTATAGAACACTGAAAAATTAGCAGACTTATGCTACATAAATATCACATGTTCTCACAAAAAGACATGCCATCTATTAGTAGTAGCATCTATTAGCCTTACCTTTTCAGGAACAACACTTTTGCCATCCCATGCATAACCTCTCTTTGTGAAGTAGTTCACTGTTGCAAATTCAATGAGGGCTGAAAACACAAATGCGTAGCACACTGCTATAAACCAATCCATAGCAGTGGCGTAGGCTACCTTTGGAAGGGAATTCCTTGCACTGATACTCAAGGTTGTCATTGTCAGGACAGTTGTCACTCCTGTAAGATAAACATTTTAGAGACTTTGTTTAGGTAAGTGGGAGCATTTTGTCTTTGATTTTTCAACATGTCCAATACCATAGAAACCCCTAATTGTTTGAGCTTCTGCTATTATAAATGTATAGGACTAACAAGCCACTGGTTCTGTCGTGGCAGTAGGAACCCTGAAGATCATTGTTTTTCATGAAGCCGTTAGAATCAGATTTTGATACGTAACTGCCAAATTCAAATGAAATTTATTCTTGAGAAAATACTGCTACTTCCACAAGACTAGTGAGTGGAAGACCAAGAAGTGCTTACTGGCATTACCCATAGTAAAACAGCTGTTGGTTATTCATCATTGAACCACTAAAAATTCAGAAAAATAACAGCAGAAAGAAAACAATATGTTTGGGTTGGTAGAGAGATAGAGATGTCCAGCCAGGCTACTGAGATTTCCTTTTTTAAAAAAAATAAAAACCATCTATAGTATTATTAGATACCTAATAACATATTTGAGACCTTTGTGTTTCACACATTTGAAAACTACACTTAATAGACTAGAGGTCATTTGCCTACTCAAGTACCCTGTTTCTGATTTCTATAGTGAAACAATGTTTCAGATTAAGACATGAAACAAAACAGTTCCAGCTAAATTCCTCTATGACTCACTGCTAATCACAGTATCTCACAGCATGAAAGCTGACTTTTTTGTAGATTGTAAACAAATTCAGTTGTTAAGTTAAAATCTCAATTTTCTTAATGTTATATCAGATATATTAATCATTCCACCAACAGAATTGAAACTGTAACTCATTACTTGTGGTCTGGAAGCCTCCTGGGGTTTATGAATTGACATACTTTCCTCTTCTAACAGAAGAATTGTGAGGGGGCGAGGGGGATGATGAAATCCAGTAGATGCAGCTGCAGAAACAAGCAAAGCAGCGATTGCTGCACCAGCAAAATGGACAAGAACTGTGCAGACAAGGACACTAAACAGCCTTGGGCACTGGGGTATAGCTTGTGGCTCCTCACATAACACTTTGAGGAACAGCTAGGAGGAGCCAGCCAAAGACTGCAACTCCTAAGTACAGTTGTGGAAGCAGCCCAAACGGGGACTGTAAGGCATTCAGAGAACTATAACCTTGACTGATCCTCCTCTGTCATGCTGACGGGACATTTTCCCTAACCATTTACCCATAGCCTCTTTACCTCATATATCCTAGCTTCTCTTTGATCTTCTACTCTACCCTGTCCTTCTTAGCCCCATCTATTCCTTGTGGTCTCTTTTAGCTTTTCCCTATGTAAGTAGCAGAACAATGCTAATAATAATAGTAAAAATTGTTCTGGAATATTTGCTGCCATCACATTTGCTGCTACACATATCTACTTATGTGTATAGCTCAACCACCCCTTGTCCTTTTCAGTGTAGATTGTCAAAACTTCAGGCAGGGCAGGGGAAATACCATTGTGTATTTTATAGTGCAAGGTACAATAGGGAAATTATGCTTGGAATCATGCTTGGAAATCATACTTAAACACAGCTATAATAACAGGAATATTCATTACTATAATATATAATAATAGGAATATTAATTACTAATAATACTAATAACAACCTCTGTTCCCATCTAGCAATTATAAGTTGTATAGAAGTTGTATAGAGAGAAGTTTTTTCTTCCTGCAAATTACTTTCTTTTATGCAACAAAATAAAGAAAAAGCCATGTGCAAAGTTTAGGTAGTTTTCCACTGGACATTTTCCACTCTAAGGTTGCTACAGTCCCATAAGATATTTTTCATAAAGCTGAAGTACAGTAATCATTTTTAATACTAACTAATATGTTCATTGCTAATGGGCTGACAGGCATAAGCAAAACAGAGGTTCATCCTAAAATATGCTATGTTGCATGTTGTGATACATTTACATTTATATGAGCTGTTGTTTTGTTCAGGTTTCAGGGCCACCACAGGTTCCTGGCAACAGGAAAGAGGTTAGATAAGAAGCATGGTAATGTAATATGCATTTCTAGTAGCAGAGCTTCATAGCTGCTGATGAACATTTTTCCTTAATGAGCCATGGAGCTTCCAATGAAGGTAGGAGGATTATATTTATATCACATAGCTTACAGATTTTTGAAAGTGCAAACTAGACATTTATATTGAATCACATGTTCACAAGTAACCTTGACAACTACAGTGTCATGTATTAAATCTCTGCTGCAGTTTATTCCACTGTACTGAATGCTAGGAAGAATATTTAGTGGTTTGAAAAGGGTTGCTAACAAACAATACAGACATATATGTGGGGACACACACACACACACATACACGCACACACACTAGTGAAAATATATTGAATATTGGTGCCTATTGGGGATGCAGTTTCTATTCCCTAAGGGAAAATTTAGGCTATTCTTCCACTTACCACTAATGAGCTTTGTTGCCATTATGTAGTAAATCCTCTTTTGCTGCAATTTGTGTTGTTTTCTAATGGTAGAAGTAGGCTATAAATATATAAGCTATGCTGCTTCTGTATGTCTGCATGGATGTCGGTGTTCACCTGAAATATTTTGAGACTTATCTTTTTTCAATGTCTTTAGAAAAGTCAAAAAATCAAAAAGTAATTCTGCACTCAATATAAACCTGCTGCATTTACATCTTCCCACACTTGCAAAAGGAATTTTCAATCGGTCAGTTGCAGTTCGAGCAACATGAAAGGGACTGGGTTATATTGGAGAAATCTCACTTCACTTTTTTCCTAATCAAGAGTTTATTTTGGGGGCGTTTTCTTAATTTTGTACATGAATTGAGTTAAAAGTTCCAAGGCATGTTCTAGTTAGCGTGCATGTGTGTGTGTGTGTGTGTCTGTGTGTGTGTGTCAGTGCGCCCCATACCAAGTGCATCACATGCCCAGAAGAGACATCGCATTAGTTAGATCTGGCTTGTCCAACATCTGTATAAGTCGGGCACTTCAGTGGGGCTTTTTGGTGCTTTGGGGGCTTTTGGGGGGTTTTTTTTTTGGTTGAACTAATATCTGCTTCTTTTGGTAAATTGCAGTTTTGAGGCTTTTTTCTTCATGTCTGTCGGTGCCACCAGAGGCTAAAAGCAAGTATAAATTGTATCAGTTTAGAGTTTCTTAGATTCACCTCTAAGATTGTAATGTAGGCACTAAAACTTTGGTCACTGATTTCAATAGGAGTATTGGACCTTAAAAATGAGATGTTTTCAAAGACTCTACAAATCGAGCTCAACCTTAAGACTGGGACTCTTAAAGGGGAAAGGAGAGAATAGGTCAAATAGGATAGCATTCAGTTTGCAAGATTCAAAATCAGACCAAACTAGATCAGTTAAAAGGTCCATCTTGTAAACAGAAGATCCTGGCATTGAATGCTAGTGATGTCTGAGGGACTGAGCTGTGTGTTTCTTTGACATGCTCTGCATGCCTTTGTTTATTGAGGTTACAGATTAGGAAGAAATTTGAAACCACTAGGGATGTTAGCACTGAAAAGAATTACCTAAAGAGGTTATAGAATGTTTTGTCATTGGAAAATGCCAACTAGGTTAAATTTCTTTGGGATAGTTTAGATGGGGATGATCCTGACATAAGCAAGGTGTTGTACTTCATGCCCTCTTAAGCTTCTTCCAGCCCCATTTTTCTGTGATTCTAATTAAATGACAACTATATACAACATAAGGACATAAACATTGCCATTTATTGGGTCAGACCATAGGTACCTCTTGCCCAGCATCCTGTGTCACACAGTGGCAGACAGTGGATGCTTAAAAGGAGAGTGAACTGGGTATGACG